TTCAAGACCAAAAAATCATTTCGGCGCGAGTTTCAAAGGCCTACATACGTAGTATATAAATTTACATAGAATCATATAAACATTTAAGATCCAGCTAGACCGTTTAAGGTTAATTAATTATTATACATTAATTTTTATAGTTTGTAATAAAATCAATAAAATATCAATATTATTCAACGCGTTTTTGCATGAAACAAAAGAATTTGGTAGAAAAAAGCATCGCTCTGCTCCACGAATTAAGATATTAATTGTTAAAATTGACGACTATTTAAGAAATCTGTCACAGTCACTCAACACAGGGCATTGCTAGGACATTATAGGAATTACATAAAAAATTCTACAATAACGCCCCGTAATTCCCTCCGCGGTTTACCCATCGATGACCGAGAATGTTTGTCTCTCCGCGATTGATGTCGAATAACTTGTATTCAATATTTATTGACAAAATTTCAAAGTATAACGCGTTGCATAATGTATTTGCAAAAGTTCGGTTTCTTTAATATTTCGTTTTCATAAAATATGACGCATACGTACGTAATTAATTATATTAACATATGCCAAATTAATTATATAAAATTCCATTCGGTTAAAATTTCAGTCGATTCACTAGTGCAAAGTATTCTCATATTTTGTAGCAGTAAATTCTCTCATATTTAATTATTGCAATTTTTCATTACTTTTCATTTAATTATATCAATCCCATTAAAGAAAAGATTTATTTTGTTCTAGTCACGTTAAACGATTCTCGCGTTTTTCCGGTTGCAAAACCTCTCTCTTTCTCTTTCTCTTTCTCTTTCTCTCTCTCTCTCTCTCTCTCTTTCTCTCTCCCGCGCGCGCGCATACGCACGCACGCACGCACGCATTTTTCACATCGATAGGTATATTCTCTCAAGGACAATCTCGTCAAGGAGAATTTTTCCAAAATGAATCACCGTCTCTTTCATTCTCTGTTACAGGTGAAGAACCTCTCTCTTTATGCGACTCGCCATCGTATTTTCAACTCGTACATTTATATTTCTATGGCCCAGTTCTTCATTATCTGGTTAACTTAATTAAATTGAAATTTGACACCTGATGTTTTATACATTTACAATGGGCTTCATCTGTGATGATGTCACGGATAAGCCTAACAAATTGACCAGGTAATGAAAAATCGGGTTTAAATCTCAGCAGAAGGAATGGAGTATCCTCTATCGTCCATGCACATCCCGTACATAATCTCAAAGATGTATGTTATTCTCGTAATCTTTGTTGCATTTCTTAGCAGAAAATAGAACAAGAAATAAAATAGAAGGCCGAATTCGGAATGGCATCTGCAGCAGGTTTGTGAGCATGCGAGAAGGCACAACAGCATCAGTCAACTCGATATTCTCATATTGCGCGACGGATTGGATACGACAAGTGCAGAAACAACTTGCATTAAACGGAGAAAGGCGATTTCTTTATTTCCTATAAGCATGCCTGCTATGTGACTCACGCCACTTCTGCGCTCACCAATTCAATCACGGGTCCGTTTGTCGATACAAAGGGGAAATCATTATCTTCCTTTCTTTCTTTTTTACGCAGTAACAAGAGAAACACTCGTCGAGATGCTCTTAAGGCGAGGGGCCGCTCGCCTCGTCTGCAGAGGCGTGAAATGACAAGAGCACGGGATATATCATATATCGCGAGAATGGAACGCCTGTATGCTGCTTTCTTATATCAAATACGAAAGTTTCCCACGTGTATAACGCAAGCATGGGCTTAGATTTCTAAGACGGGACGGGAATCGGATATGAGACCCGCGATAACACGCGATAAAACGGAAACGTAGACCTTGTGGTATATAAACGTACTGTATAGTCCTGACAGATAAGAGTTACGGATTACTAACGGGAAACACGATAACGAAAGCATACACGAAAATTAGACGCGCCACCATCATGTGAATACAGTTGTGGAATATATCGTTAAGCAATACCTATCGAGAAATGGCATTCTGTAGATACTTGTTTCATTTTATATCGCGACATTCACAAAAGTTCTTGTAGCCCCATGAGTTATAAATAAATAAATAAAATAAAGAGATCAATAAAATTATCTATCGAGACGATGCAATGATAAAGAGTATTCGCTCTCGAACAATTATTGTATATAATCGTTTTTCCTATTATTTTAATAATTTTTCGAGGATTATAACAGTAACAAACGATTGTAATAACAAATTATATTAAATTGTAATACAAATTATTATAATTATGCAGCTCTAATCTCTTCCATTTATTTGGTTTTCTGATAACTCCAAGAAATTTTCAAATTATTCAAACCGATTGGTTATTCATGCACGACATTGTCATCGTGAAACAAAATATATCAGAAAAAATATCAAATGGATTCAATAAATTTTAACATTATATCAAAGATAACATTCGTGCACAGAAATTTCAGATGCGTTGTATCCTTTTCGCGAAAATATCACATGCCATTTTTTATTTTCCATCGTTTTGACGCATACTCGTTAATTTAAAATATTACAGAAAAGGTCGTCACGCCACCGTGAAATCGATAATTGATGAATCGTGCATTCAAGCTGGTAAACGTTACACGTTACAATAAAAAAAAAATAACACAGTTAAGCCAGAAGAGTCTTATTATTCAGTCAAAGTGAATCTTGATATTTGATAATATTTTTGGCGTAAAATATATATTTTCCAATTCATGCAAATTATCTGCCAATTACACCGCGTGCAATAAATTTTGATTACTTTCTGTTTCTCAACAAGTAATGGATATAGTACTTTTTACACTAAAAAAAAAAGGTTTTCAAAAAATTCCATCACTCTTTTATTTGTAGTAACTTTGCTTTGAATTTCGTATGTAATAATGTAAATTTGTATTATATGTAATATATATATAACATACGAGGATCGTTTAAAAAGTTTTGAATCTCAACATGAAAATGGCATTACTCATCGAAACCCATTCTGGTATTACAATCGTACATGTTGTAAGATACCTGTGAAAATTGTAGCCATTTTGGATGCTCAGTTGTTGTTTGAAAGTCATTTGTGCTAGTCGATGTCAGTGTTTTCGTTTTGATGAAAATCTGTGTCCTCCGAGCCTAATTTTGAGCCTAGGAAACAGGAAAAATTCGTTGGAGATCAGATATGGTGAATATGATGGGTAGTTCAAACCGCAATTCATAAATTTTTGTTATGGCGATCGTCGATATTCGACTTTCTCCATTTTTACAAAAACACTGACGTCGACATAGCACAAATGACTGTCAAACAACAACTGAGCGTTCACAATGGCTACAATTTTCACAGATATCTTTCAAAGCATGTATGATTGTAGTAACAGAATGAGTTTTGACGAGTAATGCCATCTTCATGTTGAGACTCAAAACTCTTCAAACGATCCTCGTGTATTATAGCTGTAAATTACACTAATTTACAAGATTCCTGTTTAGTTATTGTGTATTTTACTTATAAACTTAAAGAAAGAAGTAAATGGTTTAAATTTGTAGTTTTTTTCTAAAATAAATCTTCGAATCTTCTCAAAAACTGTGGCTGATGAAATCTAATCTTATGTTCTTTTTTAACAAGTAAAAACATATACACAACAATTACCATTGAAATGTTGAGAAACAGAAACCTTGTAAAGTTCTAACACAATTTCGTTATTTGTTGATTTTAAAATACAAATCTAAATTAAAGATAAAATCGTAATATCACATTGATAGAGAATTGTAATAATAATACATTGCAAAGAATTTATACAGGGTATCTCAATAACTATTACCACCTGAAATATCTTCTAATCTATAAGGTGTAGAGAAAAATTTATATAACCAAACGAATGACTTGGACATTATGGACATGTGAGCTAATTATACTTGTATCATTCTTGCTGAGGAGGACTCCAAAGAGAGTCGAAACGTTCAAAATAAAGAAGACATCAATCCAATATCTGAGTATTGATTGTTCACTAAATAATTGCGCCATTTATCGTTGCTGACTCTCATTAACTATTATACTTATCTTTTTTTATTGTTTAAAGTTCGAGAATCCCAATATAATTATTATTATTATATAACCAAAATTACACAATGTAAAGAGTTATCATATGGTGATAATAATTTTGTCCAGGTGGAAACGCTTTCAAGGTCAACTTCGTTTTTTTTTAAATCGAATTATATGAATCTTTTTACATAATATGATTTCTCTAATAATTATTCTGCATATAAAAGTATTAAGATAATGGTATCGACAAATCAATAGTTTACGAGGTACATCTTATTCGGGCATATATATTAAAATATTAAATAAACACAAACTATTAATTTTTTGATAATCACACCTTAATACTTTTATGAACAGAATAATAAAATGAATTAATTAGTTAGTTGCTTTAAAAAAATATGTATGCAAAACAGTTGCTTTAAAAAATATATATGCAAAATGGATAATTTTTTAAATAAGCAACACTGAGTTTTCTTTCCACCAATTGATTCATCTCATTATTCTGTTCATAAAAGTATTAAGATACGATTATCAAAAAATTAATAGTTTACAAATTATTTAACATTTTATGTCAATATATGCCACACAATAAGGTGTAAAATATCTCATAAACTTTTGATTTGTCAGTATTACTATCTTACTTTTATATGCAGAATAATTAGAGAGAAATAATATTATGTAAAAAAAATCATATAATTCCATTTAAAAAAACAAAGTTGACCTTGAAATCTCCAAAGCGTCTCCACTTGGACGAAAATTATTATATCATACGATAGCCCCCTTTATACCTTGTAATTTTGGTTATATAAAATTTTCTCTACACCTTATAAATTAGAAGATATTTCAAGTGGTAATTGAGTTATTGAGACATGTATACATATATGCAAAGAAGGAATAGTTGTACGATTAAACATATGAGAAATAACATAAAAAATATCGCACAACTATCCCGATGTAACATCGAACTTGATGTAAATTGCAGAACGAAATACTCACTTTGTAAACTTGGCCATACGTTCCATTGCCGACGACTTCTATCAGCTCAAAGATCCCAGCAGGTTCCTGAAACACAAACGAATTAATTAATTCTTGAGATGTAAAACGCTCCTTTTTGTCATTAAAGAAAAACATTGTCGATCTGATGAAAATTTCTCCTCCGATTATCGTCAACGAAAGAGCAAATGAAAACTTGCTCAACTCCTCGAAATAGAATGAATAAAAATAAAATTAAGTCGAAGTAAAAAGGAAGAGACAAAGAGATTATTTGTGCAGGCGATCTGAAGAAAATAAAGAACGCATTTTGAGCTCTTAGTTGAACGACAGAACCCACGGATCGATATATTAAATAGGTATAAATAGAAAACGTCAGTGCGAGCAGATTCTGGTTAGGCTAGCCTTGTGTTTTGTGTTATCCTTTCTGCACTTGGAATAAAATTAATTAGAGATCTGTTTTCTATGGTTCACAACTATAGTAGATATGAATACTTTTGGACCTTAAAGTTAGATAGGTATACATATGTTTGATATTTGCCGAAAGCGAGAAAGAGAATTCTAATGTCTAGTGCAGGAATAAAAAACAAAACTTGGATGTTAAAGGAAAAGTTCAGCCGCAAGCAGCAATTTTTTATTCTCACGTGAACTACGCCGTTTATTTTTTAATAATGTAATGATTCGTTATATGTCTCAAATAAACATAGTTAAGACAATAATAAAATATATGTATTAATTCAACAGCCTCTCTCAAGATTCAAACCAAAAAGGACATTTATAAAAGAGTAAATACGGTATTAAAACAATACGTATATTAATGTAACTTTAACGGTCGGCCATCTTCAAGCCATCTTCAGCTAACTTGTATAATTCTAGTTGATACGTTCAGTCAAAGTACCACAAAAAGAAAAAAATAGTTATTGAATAGTTGCTGAATGGACTTGGACATACTCATATGCATGCAAAAATCTGGTGCGAAACGAGACCGTGCCTGACATAATAAAATTCGACAAACAAAATTATAGTCAGCTATCTTAAAAGCTAATCGTGGCGTTAGATAGCACAAATCTTTCGTCGAAAAATACAAGAAACGGAACGCAACAAATCGCGAGCGATAGAAGAAGGTATTTAAATCATTTTAGTATAAACTTAAGGAAACTAATTGATGCATTTTCAATATCAACTTTTTTCTTTCTTTTTTCGCTTGTTTTTTTATCTGACACATTACAATTGTCCTAGCTCTTTGCTCGTGCATTCTTAAAGATGATATTTCGGGATCGATTATCTCCCTTGTACTGTACCTACTTACTCGACTTTTTTTTTCAGAAATGATGGGACGGAGAGACGTAAAAAGTCTGTGCTTGCAACGAGATTCAAGATACGGTGAACGTGATGCTACAAGCGCTTTAAAGCATTTGTTTTTTAATGGGTCAGTTTGTAAAATTCTTTCTTCTAATTGGTCCATTAAACGCTTCAAAGCATTTGTAGCGAGACTTTAACCAGTCTATTCTTATATTTGAGATTGTCTTAACTACAATCTTAAAATGTCATAAGCCAATAAGAAGATCGTGTTAGCATCTTAAGATATTATTTAAGACGGTTTTAAAATGAGAACAGACTATGAATACCGTGTGACGCCTAAATCTCGTGTGACGTCTGTCGAACTGTCAACAGTGTCGCCAGAGTGAAAATACGATCGGTAAATAACATGTTCGATCCATTTAGAGTCTTTTCGAGCAAGAGTTTACGGTGGAAACCATTATTTGCGACCATCAATCATCCATAATATATTGTCACTGGGCCTGGAAAGATCAGTTGTCAATGATGGGTGTATGAATGCATCGAATCGCTCGACTTTTTTCGATATTAGGTGAAACTCATAACAAGGGAAAAAATAAGAAGGAAGGACTCAAGTGTGAGGAATGTCGGTTCCTCCTCCTTCTCTTCCACCTCCTCTTCCTCCTCTTCTCCTTCTTCTTCTTCTTCTTCTCCTCCTCTTTTTCGTCCTCATCGTCGTCGGTTCTCGCGAGGTTAATCAGCTCGTGTGAGCGGACAAGATGATTAATCAGGTGGGTCCAGAGAAAAGAGCCACGCGATGAAAACAGACAAGAGAAGAAAAAGAGAAACACATGCAGCCGGGAGCGAATCATTTTCATATCTACAATGTATACGTACCTTCAGAGCGTTCAGGTCAATGTCGTCGAGCGAGCAGTTGACGCTCGGTGCCAAATTATGCGCCATCTTGATACGCCACTTGCGCTACCTCCCGTTGTGTCTTTCGCTCGTTGGAGCTCACTCCGAGAACACCGTATCAACGATTCCAACACTCGTCGTTTTTATGCTCCCTTTTCTTGCGACTGCTTATTACCTCCTTTCTCTTTCTCTCTTTTCCCTTTGGAACCTTATCTCCTTTTCCTACGGCTCGCCGCTTACCAGAACCAGACGAACATACAAGGGCAGGGAAAGGAAAGAGCGAAGAAATAACGCAGCTTTATGCCGTTTACACCAGTACTATGGAGATACGAGGAGCATCGAGGAGCATCGAGAGAAGCACCATAGACGAGAGCAGCGCATAGCTCAAGGAAAGGGAAGGGAAGGAAAGGGAAGGGAAGGGAAGGGAAAGGAAAGGAAGGGGGAGGGAAGGGAAGAGGGAGGGAAGGGAAGGGAAGGGATCCTGGCCAAACAAACTACGCGCGGCGGCTACGCGAACGCTTATCGAACTGCGGCTTTACGCGCGACGACGATCTTGCAAGGTAGAGCGGCAACGGTGCAGCACATGGCGCGCACGAAACACTGAGAATCAAAAAAGTGAACCTAACAGCCTGTCGAATCAAGGAGACCAAGAATACGTCACGCCGGAGGAGGCCGTCTAGCGGTCAAACCGGACAGCGTCGCGCCTCCATCGCGTTTCGTTCTCCCTCCCTCCCTCCTGCCCTCTCTCGCCCACTCACGACTTTTTTGCTCGCACACGACACGAACGCGAAGCGAAGGGTGCGCCGACTACCGAGTTCGATATAGCGCGTTCTCTCTCGATTTTACGTGACAAGTACGCTAAAAAAGATGTCAAGTGTATAACGCCGCTGCTGGATCACTGATGATATTGATATCATATAAAGGATGCGGGAATCGAGGCGAATCACGAATCGAGCCGATTATCACGTTCTACGTCTCTCACGTTCATCGACAATTGCAACCACTGCAACCATGCAAACCATGCAACTGCACTGTCGTGCACCGCCGTGTTAGTGCCGTCGCGAACGCAGATCGCAGATAGCGCACGCCTTTCTTCCCTCTCTTTCAAATTTGCACCGTCTCTGTCTATCTATCTCTGCTGTTCGCAGCTCGCACTACCAGACGCGCCCGCTGACGTCAACCGCTGGGTTAAAGCAACATGGCGACGGAGGACCGTGACCACATTTTAAGGTGCCTTTTCATCGACGCTGAAACGTTTGTTTTCTGACGTCAAGAAATATCGTATTTAACCTAATCTTGTAATCTGTAGCAAGCTTAGAGTATATAGACATGAAGGGAGCGTTGCCTGTACCTCCTGTGGCCCAAATGTGTGTCCAAGATGCGTGTGAGAGAGAAAGATTACATGGGATTACTTTCGTCCTCTATGCGCATGTGCCAACGTTACAGACACTATAGTTAGTATAGTATGTTTATTATAAAGTATAATTACTGGGATTTCCAACAACGTATTGTACATACACAGGTGACACAATTGCTGGATTCACACTGGATCCAACGTACGTCGTATGACGCACTGCAACCAATCAGAAAACAGGATTTTGCTTCATATCATCGATATGAAATAAAATTCTGCTTTCATTGGTTGCAAAACATCATACAATGCACGTCAGATCCAGTGTGAAGCCAGCATGTGTCTAAGGCCATTCTACCTTGATCGTATCATAGACCGTAGTCGCAAGTCACGAGCTTGTTGCTTCAGCCAATCCGATACTTCAATTTTTATGCTTCGTCGCATGATGCTTACGATGCTTCCAACGCTACGATCAACGTAAAATAGTCTTATGGCACTAGTTTCCACCAAGGGTTTAATCCGGATCAGAATGTAAGAACCAATCAATCACAATCGAATATTCCCCTGTTACAGTCGAACGACAGTAGTTGGTCACAATAAAAAGCTATTGTAAGTACGAGCGTGTAAAATATTGGGTCATCTAAAAAGTATCCGCGGTTTTTTATCACTAGATGTGTGTTGATGGTCATATATCTAGTGACAAAGTACCGCGGATACTTTTTAGATGACCCAATACAATATAAGAATAGAATGGTAGAAGAAGAAAAGTCTCTAGAAGAAGAGAATCTGAACATTCGGGATTCCGCATGATTGGTGCACGTGACTTGTGCCCTCACAATAGCAGCACCAATACAGAATCTTGCTTATTCGGCGCGAACGGAGGAAAATTAGAATTGAAGTACATCATACTCGGAATTTATAGTAATATTACAAAAGTAATGATTGATGTATGTGTATTTCCTAAAAAATTGAGAAATATACCTTTGGAGTAGATTTAATGTACAGTCACAGAAAAGTTGCAACACTTTTTTTTCGATGGGTTTCGGAATGTAACTTACTCACCAAGTGATTGGTTCTTATTTGTGGATCCATAAATAAGAATCAATCGCTCGATGAGCAAGCTCCATTCTGAAACCCATCGAAAAAAAGGGTTGCAACCTTTCTGTAACCGGCTGTACATACATATTATGCAATATATGTAATATACATTGATTGTGTCCTAAAATTCATTATTACTATTAAAAATATTTAGTATACACGTGATATATGCCTATAAAGCCTCGTCTAAAATAGTCGCACAGGTTGTATCGCATGTCGCGAGTAGTAGCATCGCAGGAAAATTTGTCGCATGCCGCAAGAGTATCGCTAAATGAGCGTTTACAATAGTCACGTTGTTTGCATGCAATTCGACAACAAATTCTGGACATCAACTTGCTATGTGATTAGCTGAGTTTATGCGACACGCCTGTCGCAGAAAATTGAAGTTGGCTCAACTCCGACAAGAGTCTTGCGACTATACAATCATGCGATTATATGCGACACTTCTGCGACATTTCATACGACATGCAACACAGCTTGTATATGCGACTATTGTAAACGAGACTTCAGGTTTATTGTTTTTCAAACTTTTTGCATTTTTCGCATCTCGATTCATCTTTTTTTTTCTTCTATTCGCATTGTATGAAAAAAGTTGAACCGTGCAAAAAATTCAACTAAAAAAAATTATTGTTTTTCAACGTCAGCAATAAATTTTGAAATGCAATTAATGTGACGTAATGCAGTAAAGACGGAAGTTAATAAAGTTGTTAGCAAAGTTGTTAATAAAGTTGTTAGTAATGCAATAAGGACTGTTTTGACAAAGTTAGAGCATCCGGATATACAACTTGGCATTTTTTTATCTACAAAAGTAATTACTTAATGTTATTTTAAAAATTTTTTATATTGAAATATATTTACAATATAATAATGTTTCAAAATAAATATTACTCATTATTAATAATTATAAATAATTATAGATTATAATAATTATAATAATTATATTTAATTATCTATATAATTATTATTATAGATAATAATTAATAATTATAGATGTAGATAATAATATAAATATTAAAAATAAAAAATAATATTTATAATATTAGGTGTAAAAAAAATCTTAGATTTTTTTGCTGGCTATTCAATCGTGACCTAAGATTTGACCTTGACCGTGACCTTGAATGTCATTTCAAAGTCAAATTTACTTTTTTAAATAGGAACACATTTTTGATCACAGGAATGGAAACAGCGGAAAATTTTACGTCCGCCTGTGACTTTGATCATGACCTTGACCATGCCCTTGAAAGTCAGTTCAACGTCAAGTTGACATTGTCAATGGAAATTCCTGTAAATTGGTATCTAGGGGTTTTCGGGGTCGCTGATTACGATTTTGAAGTCGATTT